TAGATAGATAGATAGATAGATAGATAGATAGATAGATAGATAGATAGATAGATAGATAGATAGATAGATAAAAAAACAACATTAAGCTTGAGTGAAGTCCAAGCTAGATGACAGGTGAAGGGTGTCCCTGGGTGGATCAATTCCTGTTGGCATTACTGGTGGGTAAGAAGCATTCATATGAAGTTGAGTGACAACTAGATATACAGACAATTAAAGTGAAACACCTGGTTTTAGACCATAAAATCCCTTTCAGACAGCTTCCTCTTGCATCCACAGTTAATCCTGTTGGATGTGGTTGGTCCTTCTTGGTGGTATGCTAACATCACCCTGGATACCGTGGTTCTTAATACATCACAAAGACTTGCTGTCTTGGTCACAGATGCTCCAGCAAGACGTGCACCAAGAATTTGTCCTCTTTTGAACTCTAGTATGTACCCATGAAGTTGTGTGCATTGTAATATTTTGAGCAAAACTGTGCTCTTACCCTTCTAATTGAACCTTCACACTCTGCTCTTACTGGTGCAATGTGCAATTAATGAAGACTGGCCACCAGGCTGGTACAATTTAACCATAAAACCTCCCACACTAAAATGACAGGTGTTTCAGTTTAATTGTCCCTGTGGTTGGGTTCACCTCTACACACAGCTTAGACTCTGGAACCCTGAACTCCTGGAGAAGAGGTGAACACTTTCCTACTCTGAAGTTTGAAATTTTTAGACTCTTGCATGCAGGTTTAGAGTATAAATATGAAAAAGGTGTTCTGAAATGTAGAAAACATTTAAAGATGATTTTGTTGTGAGGACTTTATGAATATCATTAAATCATTATCATCAAATCTGAATAAAACAAATAATATGATATTTAGTAATAGAAAGAAAACTATCAATGTTCTATTTAGAGTTGATGGTACTGAGGTTTGTAGAGTCAGTGAGGTGAAGTTTTTGGGTGTTATCATTGATTGTCATCAATCAATCTCTCCAAGCTGACATGGAGACCTCATAAATCATTTATGAATTAAAATAGCCAAATCTACTGTATTGCTGTACAAAAGTAAGGCAGTTGTTTATGTTGTATAATGCAATAATTGTTCCACAATTTATCGTATTGATATTTGGGGGAGAGCATGCAAAACAATTACAAATCATATTCCTGTTTTACAGAAAGCCGTAGGAATTATCACTAGAAAGCATTACAGTCACCCATCAAATACATTACTTTGTCAATTGAAATTGATGAAATTCCATGACCTCCTCCTGGGCTGCCACCTTATCGTGGTGGAGAGGTTTGAGTGTCCCAATGATCCTAGGAGTTATGTTGTCAGGGGCTTCAGGCCCCCAGTAGGGTCACTCAAGGCAAACAGGTCCTAGGTGAGGGATCAGACAAAGTGTAGCCCTAAGACCCCTAATGATAAGTTCCAGCAATGGACCTAGTGTTCCCTCCCCAGACGTGGGTCACCAAGGCCCCACTCTGGAGCCAGTCTTGGAGGTGGGGCACATTGGCGAGTACCTGGTGGGCGGGTTTTCACCTGTGGAGCCCGGCTGAGCAAAGCAAAGTGGCTTAAAGTAAACTTAACAAGAGAGGTGGGCCCCCCTTCCCATGGGCTCACCACCTGTGGGAGGGGCCATAGGGGTCGGGTGTGTGTTGAGCAGTGGTCGAAGGCGAGGACCCTGGTGGCCTGATCCTCGTCTACAGAAGCTGGCTTTAGGGACGTGGAATGTCACCTCTCTGGTGGGGAAGGAGCCTCAGCTGGTGTGTGAGGTTGAGAGGTTCTGACTAGATATAGTCAGACTCACCTCGACACACTGCTTTGGCTCTGGAACCAGTCTCCTCTAGAGGAGTTGGACACTCTTCCACTCTGGAGTTGCCCATGCTGAGAGGCACCGAACAGGAGTGGGCATACTTATTGGCCCTCACTTTGTTGCTGTATGCTGGGGTTCACCACGGTGAATGAGAGGGTAGCC